TTCATTGTTTTTGTTGAGGTATTGACACTCTGTTATTCCTAAAATATAATAATATATTTACATTTTTTAATAAAAACTATTAAATTAACATTATTTTATAAACAAAATTATAATTTTAAGGTTATGTTAGATTAAACCAAATGGTTTTTTAATTTTTTATTTCTAAATTTTCGGAATTTTACATAATTTAGGCCTATAATTACAAACAGAACTTACGTGAATCGAATTTGAGTAAATCATCTTTGAATTAAAATCGAAATTCAGTTGAAATTTCTCGAAAATTCTAGGTTATTTTAGTGTTTGACTGAAATTTAGAAATTAATTAATCTTCTTCTTTTTCCTTTCCTTTCTAGTTTTTGATAGCAACAGTCTAATGGTCTTTTACTTTATACCTTATCAGTCTAATAGTAATGAAGAAAAAATATAACTAATTTTAATAAAAACATAATTATTTTAAACATACATAATTTAACAACAACAATAATAATATATAAATTACTACTTATCATCTTCGTTGAAAGATAATAATTAAATTTTAAAAACGTCATAAAAAAAGTGACAGTTGACAGGTGAAAAATCTAATACCGATTTCGTCCACCTTGGATATCTAAGACATCTACCACTAACATAATCGCCCTTCCTAAGTGCACCCAGTTTCAACAATAGGGAGTCGTAGCTCGAAAAACACGATTTTAAGTAGTTTTTCACCGTTGCCATGAAAACGGTCAATCAGATTTAGACGCGGAATTTTTTTTAGAGGCATCTCATGGGTTTACACGTTCAGGCCAAATCTCATCTAAATCGCCTTACCCATTCCTAAGATAAGATTTTTTAAAGTCGCCCGGAAACCCTTAATACGAAATTTGGCCGAAAAAAAATGGCGCCCGAGGAAATTTTTGTGTGCGTGGCGAGTTAGAGAGGAGCAAAGGGTGTACGGGAAAAATAATAAAAAAATTATTCGTTTGTAATAAATCGTCGAAAAAGCAAAAAGAAATTTTTAAAACGTCATAAAAAAGTGACAGTTGACAGATGAAAATTCTAATATCAATTCCGTCCACCTTCGATATCTAGAGCATCTACCACTAATACAATCGCCCTTCCTAAGTGCACCCAGTTCCCACAAAAGGGAGTAATAGCTCGAAAAACACGATTTTAGGTAGTTTTTCACCGTTACCATAGAAACGGCCCAACAAATTTTCACGCAGATTTTTTTTTAAAAGCATCCCGTGGGTATACAGCCTCTTACCAAATTTCATCGAAATCGCTTTAACCGTTCGGACGGTACGATTTTTTAAAGTCGCCCGGAAACCCCTAATACGAAATTGGGCCGAAAAAAAATGGCGCCCGAGGAAATTTTTGTGTGCGTGGCAAGTTAGATAGGAGCAAATGGTGTACGGGAAAAATAATAAAAAAATTATTCGTTCGTAATAAATCGTCGAAAAAACAAAAATTAATTTTTAAAACGTCATAAAAAAGTGACAGTTGACAGGTGAAAATTCTAATATCGATTCCGTCCACCTTCGATATCTAGGGCATCTACCACTAACATAATCGCCCTTCCTAAGTGCACCCAGTTCCCACAAAAGGGAGTCATAGCTCGAAAAACACGATTTTAGGTAGTTTTTCACCGTTGCCATGGAAACGGCCCAACAAATTTTCACGCAGATTTTTTTTTAAAAGCGTCCCGTGGGTATACACCCTCTTGCTAAATTTCATCGAAATCGCTTTAACCGTTCGGACGGTACGATTTTTTTAAGTCACCCGAAAACCCTTAATACGAAATTTGGCCGAAAAAAAATGGCGCCCGAGGAAATTTTTGTGTGCGTGGCGAGTTAGATAGGAGCAAAAGGTGTACGGGAAAAATAATAAAAAAATTATTCGTTCGTAATAAATCGTCGAAAAAGCAAAAAGAAATTTTTAAAACGTCATAAAAAAGTGACAGTTGACAGGTGAAAATTCTAATATCGATTCCGTCCACCTTCGATATCTAGAGCATCTACCACTAACACAATCGTCTTTCCTAAGTGCACCCAGTTCCCACAAAAGGGAGTAATAGCTCGAAAAACACGATTTTAGATAGTTTTTCACCGTTACCATGGAAACGGACCAACAAATTTTCACACAGATTTTTTTTTAGAAGCGTCCCGTGAGTATACACCCTCTTGCCAAGTTTCATCGAAATCGCTTTAACCGTTCGGACGGTACGATTTTTTAAAGTCGCCCGGAAACCCCTAATACGAAATTGGGCCGAAAAAAAATGGCGCCCGAGGAAATTTTTGTGTGCGTGGCGAGTTAGATAGGAGCAAAGGGTGTACGGGAAAAATAATAAAAAAATTATTCGTTTGTAATAAATCGTCGAAAAAGCAAAAAGAAATTTTTAAAACGTCATAAAAAAGTGACAGTTGACAGGTGAAAATTCTAATATCGATTCCGTCCACCTTCGATATCTAGAGCATCTACCACTAACATAATCGCCCTTCCTAAGTGCACCCAGTTCCCACAAAAGGGAGTAATAGCTCGAAAAACACGATTTTAGGTAGTTTTTCACCGTTGCCATGGAAACGGCCCAACAAATTTTCACCCTAATTTTTTTTTAGAAGCGTCCCGTGGGTATACACCCTCTTGCCAAGTTTCATCGAAATCGCTTTAACCGTTCGGACGGTACGATTTTTTAAAGTCGCCCGGAAACCCTTAATACGAAATTTGGCGGAAAAAAAATGGCGCCCGAGGAAATTTTTGTGTGCGTGGCGAGTTAGAGAGGAGCAAAGGGTGTACGGGAAAAATAATAAAAAAATTATTCGTTTGTAATAAATCGTCGAAAAAGCAAAAAGAAATTTTTAAAACGTCATAAAAAAGTGACAGTTGACAGGTGAAAATTCTAATATCGATTCCGTCCACCTTCGATATCTAGAGCATCTACCACTAACATAATCGCACTTCTACAATGCACCCAGTTCTCCCAAAAGGGAGCCGTAGCTCAAAAAACACGATTTTCGGTGCATTTTCACCGTTACCATGGAAACCGCCAAACAGATTTTCACCCCGATTTTTTTTTAGATGCGTCCCGTGGGCATACACGTTCCGGCCAAATTTCATCAAAATCGCTCCACTCGTTACTGAGATATGATTTTTTAATCGAAACCCTTTTTTTTTTTGAATATTGGATCCAGCTCTGAAACGAAGTTTATTAGTCCACGAAATATTCCCGGATTTTCAGACGATTCTGTTTCGTCATGTCCTCGTAAAGCCAGCTCAAATGCACCACAAAACTTCACACAGTCTATTATTTTATTTAAAATATATCGATTTTTTGACACATTTTCGTTAAAAACTCTTACGGATTGCCGATAAGCATTGTCTAATTGAGATCGAATATCAACACTACCAATTGTAGCAAAACTCATGGCACTTTTCATATGGTCTGCAGATAAAACATGTTTTTTAATTTTGACTTTTAAATGCTTTAAATCTTTGACACCGTTTTTACACCATAGAGAGTCATTCGAAAATATAATGCATACAAAACAGTAAAATGCATTACTTACTTCACACCCGCAAATCCAGTCGGACAAATCATACATAGACCTGCGAAAATTGCGATGAACGTCTTTATTTTTGTCCTTGCTAGTCTGCTTAGTTTTTAGATCTGGCAGAGGGCGACCATTTTCTTTTAGTTCCAAACGTTTTTCGAAATTTAGTTAATTTCTAATTTTAAGTTCTTTAAGTTTTTGCACTACTGACATAATAAAATATTAAAATCTACACTTTTAAAAACAATAAAAAAATAGCGAAATTACTCTGGATTTTAACTACTATCAAATTTAATATTTGGATTATTATTACACATCCAATATCCAAATTCATACTAAAGGAATATTCCACTCCATTCATTCATCCCATCCCTAGATACCTAGCCAAACTAAAAATATAAATGAACATATTTGACGACATACGTCCAACCTGTCATCTCTTTTCTAAGCATGTAATAATTACAATAATGATAAGACGACATACATCTTAATCGTATTTCGCGGCTGTTGTTGACCCAGTGCCTTCAAACTTCGGGCTGCGTTTGTCCGTTAAAATTAAATCGCCATAGTTCGGCAAAATCCGTCTGCATTTAAGGCTTTGAGGACATAAACGGTCACCAGCCCAATTTCTAAATTTCATACAAATTTGGTGTGGTTGTGGGAGTACGCAGAGTACGGGCGTTTACGAGGGAGCTTAAAATATTATCGGTAAATTATTACAGTGGGTATACATACAGTGATCCACAATATATCTGAAAATGTCGACGTTGGGGAGGCCACATGGCCCATAGTCCTATAATACTTATTTTTATTGGGAGGTCATTGACCCAATGACCTAATGGAGAAGCCGCCACTGCGGAAATATGACAAAAGGAGGGATAAAATTTCCTCCCGCTGACATACAAACTACAAATCGACCCTCGCGGAGAAGAACGTTGTAACTTAATTTAGCAAATTTTTCAGGAGAGACGTTTAAAGTTAAATTTTATTAGAACATTTTTTTACTTACTTAAAAAACTTTGTGAGATTTCACTTACTATTTAATGAGATATATTTTGTAACGCCGTTTCAACTGGCCGGATTAATATTTTGATTGTATGTAAGGATTTCTAGATATTGCACTTACAGTTTTGAAAAATAATTATAATTTACTTGGAATAAACAAGTAAGTGTAGGTACGGCACTTACAGTTTTCAAAATTAATTATAAGTTGCATAGAATAAACACGTAAGTGTAGTTAAGGGCTTAAATTATATTGTTTAATTTAAAAACAATAAAGTTTTACAATTGTAAGTGGGTAAAATTTAAACACTTTTAGTAGAAAAAACTATAAAAATTTATTTAAAATAAAACTTAAGATAAAAATAAAAAAAATAAAGCATAATAAACGTAAACCAACTCTTTAAACTGGAATCATAAAATTCCAAGTAAAAAACAAACAAAATAAAAAAATAAAGTATAAAAAAATATTCAATTTTCTTCGTCTTCATCGGGTAACTGTTCTCCTATTGGAAGACTCTCATAGTAACCATGATAAGTTTGAGGTATGCAGTTGGCCCGACATAAACTTATAAGGTCTTTATGCTTCGCATTAGAAATGCCTAGTAAGGAAGAATAGGCTGGTTCTAAATTAACCATTTCTAGTTTAGTTGTGTTTTCAGTCCTTCTCGTTCTTTTATTTGGTTTTAGGGCTAAATTTAATTTGAATTGTTTATCATTAACTAGTTGACTGCCGTGCTGGTCCCATGGGACCAGCAACGCATGGGTATTATACGCCACGCTGGTCCGATGGGACCAGCACATGTATTTGTAGATCTAAAGCTGCTGGCAAAAGTCAGGTTCTAATTATGTATAGGGGACCAGCATGGCTTCAAAGAATATTGTGGCGGTGATGGTTCTGGAATTTTTTATTTTGGAGACCCTGTGGTCCCTTGGTAAAAAAAATAAGTACGGAAATAAACTTTTATTAATTTAAACACACAAATAAACGAAAAGCGTAAATATTGAACAATATTAGGTAATAAAAATGTTAGATGTGTTTCATTGAAACATGGTAAACATAAAAATGGTTTTTTTTCGCAATCTTCACAGTAAGTATCGACCTTTAGAGTTCTATTTGTAGCATATTTTCTACCGTGGGTATCATTATTTTTTTTGTAGCAATTCAATAGACCTATCGCGTTATTGCCTACCTTATCGAAGATAGTAGAACGGCTAATGAAAAACCGTCTCTTGCCCTTTCTTTTCAAGCATAACATCCGCACAGCTCATCAGTATGGCTTTCTACCTAAAAAATGCACTAGCGACGCAATGTTTTCCGTTCTTAATGAAATATACACATCACTTAATGATAAACTTTTCACCGCTTCAGTATTTTGTGACTTCGCAAAGGCCTTCGATTGTGTAAATCATGATATTTTAATTAATAAGTTACAAATTTATGGCATACGGGGTTCTCCTTTACAATGGTTTAAAACTTACCTAGAAAATAGAAATCAACAGGTGCGGGCGAATGGTGAGGATTCTACAAATCTAGCAATAAGCAGTGGAGTACGTCAAGGATCAGTATTAGGTCCAATTTTGTTTTTATTATTCATCAACGACATCACAGACTTAAGAATAAGTGGTAGAATTACTTTATTTGCTGATGACACCAGTGTAACCTGGAATAATTCTAACATGCAGACATTACAATCTATCATAAGTGAAGATCTAGTGACTATTAAGTCCTGGTCTGATTCGAATGGACTTTGTTTCAACACCAGTAAAACTGTAGCATTGTCTTACAGAGGTACTTTACAACCTATAACTTTAAACAATAATCTGATCCAAACGGTGACTTCAATCAAGTTTTTAGGTCTTTATATAGACGATTCTCTAAAATGGTCTGCTCATATAGATACCTTAGCAAAAAAATTATCCTCCGCATGTTTTGCCATTAAATCGGTTTCTAAAGAGCTGACTCCTTCTACTGCATTAATAACCTACTTTTCCTTATTCGAATCTCACCTTCGCTATGGTTTACCTTTCTGGGGTTCTTGTAGCTTATACCTTCTCGAATCTATTTTTAAACTGCAAAAAAGAGCAATCCGCGTATTTGGTTTAAGTAGTAGGACACATTGCGAAAATTACTTCAAAAATTTCAAAATTCTAACCCTTCCTGCTCTATTTATTTTCGAATCCGTCTGCTTAGTTCGCAAGCACATTCAAAATTTATCCGAAAGACCGACTCGTAGATATCCTACAAGGAATTTAGAGACTGATGTTTATTTAACAATGCCCACTTCTGACCTATTAAAACATTCCATTACCTACAATGCCAAAAAATTGTATAATAGCCTTCCGATGCAATTAAAATCTATAAATACATACGATAAGTTCCGAAGACTGGCTAAAGCTTTTCTTCTAGAAAGACCATATTACACAGTAGCAGAATTTTATAACGTACCTTAGACATTTGAGTTCCACATACAATGGCATTAATTAAATAATTAAATATTAAAGTTTAAATTTAAATTTAAAAATTAAATTAGAATAATTATAATGACGGATATTGCATATCCATTGCAATTGTTATTCCTATTTTGTCTGTTTGTTTCTGTTTGTTTTTTCTGCTGTTTAGTTATTTTTATAATATGTTTAGTATTTAAGTTACACGCTTTATCTATAAAATTTTTGTAATTTTTTTTACGACAATAAAGCATATCTCTCTCTCTTACAACAACGCCTCACCTTGTGCTTATTTTCACCTTCTTTCTTTTTCAGAAAGTACGCGACGTTTCTTTACGGGCGGAGGAATATTTTCTTTTTAATTTTTAATTTTTTATTGACAACTTCTTTAGGAATAAATCCACGATTTTTTTTTATTGTGCCAATAAAGTGGGTATTGGAAGATAACATTTTGTTGGCTAAAGGTAAACTTGAATACCAGTTATCCGTAACCAATGTCCTTCCAACTTCTAAAAGATCTTCTGTTAGATACGAAACAATAGATTCTGGAGTTACTGATACGTTATTCTCCTTTCCCGCATATATTTTTATGTTGTAAGTATAACCTAACCCAGAACAAAGCTTGAACAGTTTAACTCCATATTTGTGTCTCTTTGATTTTATATATTGTCTAATCGATAGCCTACCTCTGTAAGGCAACATAGTTTCATCAACACACATATACTCCTCAGGGGTATATAGACTTTTATAATTCTTTACAAGCATATTTAATGTAGGCCTAATTTTATAAAGTTTGTCTTCGAGATTGGCTTGATTGTTATCGCAGAAATGTATTGTTCTTAATAATATTTCAAATCTAATTTTCGCAAATTCGTCGCTCTGAAGTACGATATCGGAATAAATCTTGAAAACGATATGGAATTTTGCCGGCCACAGCAGGCCGTACCAAAGTCATGTTTTCCAATGCGACGTTATCTGCGTCGTTCGACGTTTGCAAATGCTCGCATCGGACGCATATAACGTCCGTTCGAGAACGTACTTCAATCGATTCGACAAACTGGGGCGGACAAAGAGGCACTAACGACACTAGAAATTCTTGACAATCTTGTTGTCGTCGAGTGAAGAATGTACCGCCTACGGCACGACGAATTGCCAACGTATTGTCAGAACGGTTAGTTATCGATAAAAAAAACTGTCAAATTCGGATTTTCTTGCCTGAATGTATCTAATAAAAAGTGGCAAATTCAATAAACAATTGACAGCAGAATTGGCATAACATGAAACTCCGTCCGCATTATTAAGACCGGTGTTGCGACGGCGGAGGCAGCGATTACGTAAGCTAATCAACGTTGAACGACGATTGCTTTTGCTGCTCTCACATTCGCCGCCTTCAACACCCACGCCGCTATTAGATAAACGAAGACTACGACGTCGTCGTTGTTGTTCACCACCACTACTACTACTTCTACTATTACGATCAGCGGCGTCAATTGGAACTAATGGAATAACTAAACGTTTAGAAAATGAATTGTTACTCGGCGTAAAAATTCGTTGACGGGGGGAAATGGAAGTAACGGACGGAGCGTTTCCTTTCTCGACAACCATTACCTTATTGGTATTTGAAGATTCTATATATTGAGATATGATGAACGCGTCTAATACGACAGAAAGTTGCGACGATATGGGATTAACTTTTTTAGTCGAAGTACTCGGAACGTCTTTAATAGTAGTTTGTCGCTGCCGCTTTTGTTGCGGTTTCTTCGATCGTTTTGATCGTGGTGATGATGGTGTTGGTGGTGGTCGTTTTTTCTGTATACCTGTACGTGTTGATGGTGTAGTATTGGTAACGGCCCCAACAGCGGCTTTTTTACTATTCGTCTTAGACGACGAACGTAACGGCTGCGACGGTACGGGATTTTCAGGTTTAATGGTATGTACGGAGACTATATTAATGGAAGAATTCGGTTTCCCTGCGATATTTATGACATTTTGTAAATTATTTGCCGCCGAAGAAGTGGAGAAAGGTGCGGCATCGGCGGTGGACCACGATAACCACCTTTTTTGACGTAGAAGATCAGACATTAATCTGAAACGTGGATTTTGTGATGAAGTGTAAGAATTTAGAATGATAGGTTTATGATGACTAAAAATGGTTTCCCCTACACAGGCCAAAGTAAAATTTGTATTGGTCAAACACCAATCTATACTCGTATTCGCCATTGTCGTAGATGTAGCTGTGCGTTGGCCTGTCGCACTATCTGTCGTAGCTAATAAATTAACTAACGACGAATCAACACATAGGAATTTTTTCAACAGACTATTTCTCCCGTAATCTACGTTAAAATCACCTACTATGACCAACGGTCGGTCGAAATTAACGTATTCTTTCAAGAATTCCATCGATTCCTCGATCGTCGCCGTGGCCGGTAAATATACTGTATAGATATAAAAAGTCGACAAAATTTCGCAGCATACCATGTGCATATAACTACACACCCCGCGGTTGGTTTTTTCGAATTTTATCAAAGACGAAATTGACACGGTGAATGTTATCCGCTCTAGTTAGAATTAAAATCCCGCACGGTTTTCGTCCACCTGTCGGATGGGTGGTTGTCGTTCGAGGAGGAGGAGGAGGAACGACGGAAGATGCATGAACAGTTGACGGTGGTAACGAAGAATCAACAAAATTTTGATGCGGATTTTTCTGATACAAAGGTCGATAATGTTCGAAGGAAACGACATCGCTGTCGAGTAACCACGTCTCGACGAAACACAGTATGTCTGCACGACAAAACTGTGCATTGGACGTGATTAGGCGTTCGTGTTTCCGGAAGCTTTGTACGTTGTGGTAAACCACACGTACGTCGGGACGAATATAATTTTTCTTCGCCGACGACGACGATTTTGCAATCGACGTCGTAGGAGGAAAAATTACTTCGTCCGCGACTTCGTTCCGTAACATGTCACGCATAATCATGTCCAATTGTCGATCGGGGTCGCCTCTCAACGACGCCAATTCCTTGTCGCAAGCATCGACCTTTCGCGTCTTAATAGGAACCGTGAATTTATTTACCGAATAAAAACAGCCCGGACGATTTGGTTGCTCTACTACAACCGACATACAAGTCCACAACCATTTCTCTAAGCAGAGAGTCACCGACGGGTACGTGGAACCTTGGCTTTTATGAACAGTCATTCCCTCGGCTGGCGTCAAGGGAAAGAAACTGTTTCCGCTCGACGTACACGTTACTGAATCCCTTTAGAGTTTGCAAACGTCTCGTGCATCTGAACAAAGGAACCCACGTTGGGTTTTCCAGGATGTCATCACTACAAAGTCCACGACGTGAATCCGCATCGATCAAACGCACCTTGTTCAGGTATTTGTCGCGGGTTAATTTTCCGATGAAACTAACGTCGCTCGCTCCACCTCCGAAGTCCAACCAAACGCAGAATACGTCATCACCGGCGGTTTCTCCGTCCTCACCGCGCACGACGTCAATCTCGTTTGCATCGAAAATCGGTGGCGGTTGTGAGCTAACGACCGCTCCGTCACCGCGACGACGATTACCTGCCGTCGTCGGTACACGCCGTTGGATTTTCTTTAAAATACACGCACCGTGTACATAATAACCATCGACTATATCGATATTTACGGTTATCATGTATCGAGCGTTGACATGCAAAGGAACGGCCAACGCCAACCCGAACGTTTGACCGATAGGTAATTTTCTTACTTTATTTAGAAATTGTTTCTTCAGCTTGTCCGTTTTCGTGCCTCTCACCAGATCAACGGCCACGAAAACGGCGACATCGCCTTGGAGCGTGGCCAAGACGGTGTCGTTATGACTTTGTACGCTGGCATTTGTTCTGAATAGACGGAGGGCGTCTATGTATGACTTGCGGTGGTCCGACATTTTGATCGACAGACGTCGCCTGCATGGCCCTAATATGCCTCGACTTCAACAGACGAATATCATAGGCCGACATCCTGTATTCGGCCAGATTGTTGAGAGCCTTGGCAAATGAATGGCACGTCGTCTTTTTGTCGCATCACTTCCACCAATTCGAAGAACTTGAAAAGTTGCCACAGCCAACCCTCCTTACCGACGATGTTCGCATAATGAGTTGGAAATTTGGCTTGTTAAATATGTAACCGTCACCGACGGGTGGTAATTGTCTAAAATCACCGAAAACGATAACAGAGACGCCATCGAACGGACTGTCGTACTTGTCCATGATCTGTTGCAATCTGCAATCGATCTCATGGAAAGTTCGACCACCTACCATGGAAATTTCGTCTATGATGACGTATTTCAAGCCTTTGAACTCTGTTCGGAGAGTATTGGCTACGCCGTCCGAAAGCGCAACGAGTGGTCCGGCGTATTGATTGACCGGCAGTCGGAATGCGGAGTGTATAGTCACACCGCCGATGTTAAATGCGGCTTTACCGGTCGGGGCACATAGTACGATTGATCTTTTATCGACGTTAAATACCCGATACATATATTTACCGACGTTATCGCGAGAAGGAGCGATAGTCGGCGGCTGATGTTGTGGTTGTCGAGCCGGTTGCTTCAACAACGATGAAGTATCAGCTGTCGAGGAAGAGGATTTTTTATAGAAATAATTAGAGGCCTTGGACAATTTGTGTAAATAATAAGGAACGGCCATTTCTATAGTTTTAATCAAATGATATTTTCCCACACCTGCACCACCGGATATAAACATGTATAACGGCTGATGATGTTGTTGTTTAGAATTTGATGCATTTTTTTCGGAAAAATGCGAATGGTACGACTCGGACAATATTCGGATCAAAACCAACGACTGTCTGTAATTTAACGATGACACCATGTTGAACAATTTACGTTCATCCACGGTCGGAAGTGGCGGTAATCGGCAATCGACCCGAGCGACAAAATCGAATTCGTCGGCCAGACTTTGACAATCTTTATTCGCTTCATTGTTACTGCCTCCAGCGGCCGCCATTCGCCGCAATTGAGAGCTAAGTCCGGACAACAAATCGAAGCTGTCGTCGGCCCAATTTTCTCCGCTACGACCACCTTCGAATCGCGTGGAATTGTCATAAATTGCCTGCAACACGTTGTCGTCTCTTCTCCCATTACCTGAGTTGTCTGCGCCATTAATGTCGTCATTGTCGCCGAAGTTGTGATCGTCGTCGATAATAACGTCACCAGTGGTGTTATGATGTCGATGGAATGGTCGATGCAAATTATCGTCGACAATTTGATCGGCCAACTCGTCCATATCTTGTAGAATTTTAACGAAATCACGCTTTTCGCGAAGAATGTCGGCGAGAAGAGACGAATAACGCGATTTGATTTCGCCGTTTTCAACGAAACGTATCAAATCGCGTTGCTCGTCTCTGTAGGGTATGAAAAGCAGAAAATTTTGCGACGACCACCAGCGGCCTTCCTCTTTACGTACCCGCTTTCGTTACGCAAAGGTAAGGCCCTCCTGACATTTTTCGAAAATAACGTGAATTCGGTGGCGAAACGTGTCAAGCATAAGGTCTCCAACGAATCCGGACGTTCGACGTACCTATCCAGGATGTTTCTTTCGAAAACATCCGTACACGCAGCGTCCATTTCCCTCAACGCCGCCTTCCCTTTGGCAACGCGCACACGTTTGTCAATGGGAAACGTGTTGACGAATACGTCGCTGCGCGATGAATTGGTAAGCCGAAGACCGGTTACGTGGTAGGCGGCCTCCTGCACCGAAACTTCGGACGATTTTAAAAACAAATTCCCTAACTTGCGCAACTTTGCCTTGGTATCGATATCTACGGCTTTGATGTGCGTCTCCGCCTCGGACATCAACTTGGACATACCCAAGCTGGATTTGTTAATATAGTTGACGCAACTATAAGCGTCGACTATATATTGCATATGCATGTTAGCTTGATGCATGTCCAAGACCTTGGGAAAGTAGTTATTCGTAGCGATATCGGCCAAACGACGTCGAAGAAAAACTTTGGGGCAGCCGGTTTTTAAACCTGATCGAATGGCCAGAACGTAGGCGGATTCGGTCAGCCCCAATTCTTGTAATAGCTGGTCGAAATTCATCGATAACGATAGTTCTCGTTGATATGAGCCACTATCGAATGCGGAATTTAGATAGGCGCGAATCTTGATGAGATCGGCCTTAGCCTTGGCCCGGTCCGGTCACGCAAGACTCTTCGATGCTACTCAAAATCATTGTAGTACGCATCGGGAAAAAGGAATTTTGTAACAACTACCGGCACTACGATTAGTAACATCGCTGCCACCAACAGTAGCGGTAGTAGTTGTCGTAGGTTTGCCACAACTTTTAGAATGTATATGTCTCTGATATGCCATCAAAGTTTCCACGTTGGTGGCATATCTAAGACCTTCGCCAGACGACGAAGCGCTCACGAAATTATCGATGAACCTCGAGCAGTCCGTACCATTCGTGCCGTCAAACACCGGTGCTCCATCGAGCCACAAAACACCGTGGATGTGCGGTGCTCTCCGATGCTGAAATTCGACACGATAATAATAATAATAATCTGCCAAAGGATATACGACGTTTACTGGACGATTTGTATTATTAACAAAAGGTGCGTCAACGGGATCAGCGAAAGTGCTGTGTTGAGGATGAGGAGAAGTTTCATTATCGGAATGGGAGGGAGGGGGAATTGAACCAACAACGGATGACTTAAAGAAGTCTGTTACGGTCAAATTTACGTTTAGAACAAATCATTCAAATTTAGTTAATTATCAATAATACTTAATCAAATAGGGTTTCGTTATTTTGATTCAAATATTTAGATTTAATTAATTAAAGCGATTTGATTTGGCATTAACACCATCTGTCTTGCAGGTACGGAATTCTATTCTTAAAATGAACGTTTAATTCTTTTGATCGTAAGTGTATCGTATAGAAAACAATTTATATTAAAACTAGTTTCCTCTTCTGTTAGGCTGTAAACGCTTGTTGCGATTCTGCTCTTCTATCGCAGTTTTCTGTTACCTTTTTGATCGGTGCTGCCGCCTTGTTCGTATATTTTTAAATACTAATTAATTAATTTATTTTATGATTTGGAATTAAAAATTTGGAAATTCTTTACGCCCATTTTGTAAATGTCTACGCATCAGTACAGAGACAACATTGCATATGGATTTGTTTGTGCTGATTTAATTTGGATTATTTGTGAGATTATTTTTTGAGTATTGATTGTGTTAAAAGTTTGTTTATTGCCACAAATAATTAACCATATTTTATGGGATTTTATTCAAGACATTTCACATTAAGGCCGCATAAGATCATTGGTAAGTTTTCTTTTTTTGTTTGATTTCTCACTTGTAATAATTTTCATCGTATGGGTTATTATTTGGACTTCTTCTAAAGCAAATTTATTTGTTCTAGGCCTTTTTCTTTGTATGTATATATTCTCATTACTTTGACCTGGGCCATTCATGATTTATTGAATAAATACATAGTACATTTCATTAAATTTGGGACAAAACTGCCGAGAGATTCCTTGCTTTTGGTGTCTAAAAGGCTGTTCTGGAATCTAGGATAAGTATCTGATTTGAAGCCATATCCTGCTGTTCGAGGTAGGCTCATTCCTTTTTTTTTTTAACCTGATTTTTGGACGAGCTGATGTCCAGTATCATGTACAGGCCGGGGTTTTGCAAATGAACAATAATAATTTCAGTTCGTTGTGTATTTATTAATTATTTAACATTCAATATATTTGTTTATAAAATAAGTTTAAAATAATAATTAATATTTAAATTGCGTAAATTTGGAATAATTTTCACTTGAGATTTAATATAATTAAACGTAATAATTTATTAAATGATAAATGTTCATAGTCTTAAGATAATTTCAGTTATTTTCACTGCAAATAAAAAGTATTTTTATTATTTATTCTTACATGCAGTATAATGTAATAATTTGGCCAAATTCACCCTTGTAAATAATGTTATACATAATTATTTAATAGAGTAATTATTATTATTATTACGTTGGAGTTAGTGATTTTTCTTTTATTTTTGTGGTTACAAGAACCTTTTGTATAACAAACTCTCTGATTAATAAACCAGATATTATTTCTGATTTAAATTACTTATT